TATGCTTGTCATAATATGCTTGTCAAAATATGGATGTCATGTAGGTCTCTGTGACCAATATAATCAAAGAATCTTAAACAAGCTTCAACAGTAATTAATCCCTTAATCAACCAATAGTCAAGCAACATCACTGTAATGATAACCAGATTGTTTTGACATAACACTGTTCCTCTGTATTCATAAGGACGGATCATCTAAGAATCTTTTGCAGCTAATTATGCTGGGCTAATGCTTACAGTTCTTATTCTGAGTAAATTATATTTCAAGTGTCAGCAAACAGTCATGCCACAGGGGATTCCACACTAAACTCCAGCATTCAGAATAATATTTGACATGGGCAAAATGTGATGTGACATTTTTCAAATGAACACTGTAGAAAAAACATTTTCTTAAACAATTTCATTGTTACCATATTCAAAATTCTTTTCACATCGTAAACTATTACATGTATAAAGAATGATAGTTATGCATTGTGGGTATTTTCAGCCCATATCCACAATTATTAACAAACGTGTTGACAGCTGACTGTCAAACGGTCAGCTACTGCAGATAAACAATATATGACACCTTACACTCCCAACATGAGACTAATGACAGCTTTTGTGTGTACACACACACACACACACACACACACACACACACACACACACACACACACACACACATACACACACACACACACACACACATACACACACACACATACACACACACACACACACACACACACACACACACACATACACACTAACATATACATATAGCACCGATATCCAGCCCAGCTCAGCTGCTCAAAGGCGCTTTGTTTTTCCCTCGTTCACTGGATGTCAATCTCAACGGCATTGTCATTTTCAATCTCAACTCCCTGGGGAGCATACAACTCTTGCAGCCACTAGGCGCACCGAGTTATTGTGGCATTCCCATCCTTACGAGGTACCCATTCACAGCTGGGTGGACTGGGACACATAGTCACAGTACTTTGTCCAAGTTCACTGCACGTTGCTGTACCCGCAACTGGGTGTTTGCACGTATTCATGTGGCCACCATCTGGTCATATACCAACGGATTCGTGAGTTCTTTTAAGTGCACAGGGTTGTGTACTGTACACTAGGGGTTGTGACAACACTGAAAGAGTCTGCACACAAAGTTGACTCCAAGGTTTTTACACCCGGTCACAGGTGGGCTCGATCCCGTCACCTCAAGCTCGCTGAATCACTAGCCTGGCGCTTTAGCCAGTTCGCCCACCGCGCCCACCGTACACACCGTACACATACATTATTCAATACAGGGAATATATAATCTACCAGTGCCCATCACTCATGATCGTTTTATCAGCTATGTTATCTGTATGGTGGTCTATAACCCTCAGGCTGTCACAAGTTAGGAAGCCCATATTGGTGTTACATCTCTTACTGTGGATAGTTATCACTAAAGTTAAGTCATGCATATTTCACAACCTTCCTCCCATTACCTGTCTCACACATGCTACAAACAGCATTTGAAACAAAATTACCTTAACAAAGATCTTAAAAAACAAAGGTGCCATTTCAAATACTTTGTTTAGCATAATTTCTACATGACTAAATCTGAGAAACAAAAATTCAACTCTACCATAACTCAGGGCCACTAACAAAACACTGCTATGATGTCGAAACATGATCTCAGAAGATCTGAAAATCATAACATTTGCACCTTACAATAGGAAATAGGCATCAACAGGATCAGGATGACTGATATGGTAACATAGCCTTAAAGATTGTCCAGTATGCACTGTCTACTTGACAAAATATAAGGTCACAATATCAACACTGACATGCTACTTCATAACACATTGTTATCATAGATATGATTGATACCTGTACAAACATAAACACAGCCACCAGCCAGAGCACCACTGAATCATTCCCAACATGAAAACATGCAAGTGCAACGGAATCCTACAAACTGAGATGTACACTAAGACATTAATAACCAAACAAATCAATTACTGGGATTGACTGTGTTAATGCAACCTGTAACCTGATGCAGACAGCATCAGCCACTGCAGGCACATCCAGTCAAAGTGCTTTCTCAATCAATAACAATTCTTCCATCATTCTGCTCAGAGTGTCCTAGATAGCTGCTACCCTGCTGCAAGTAGCCCTCACTAAAGTAATGACTCAAGCATTGATGACTGTACACGATTCCTTACATCATGCTTAGTACATAGAGATTGCATCATCAAACTACCAAAACGAACATGATACATTCTGCAATTCCTGTTCCTAAAAAAGACATTTAGCACTGACAATTTGAACACTCACTGCCTGTGTTAACTATGTCCTATTTTCTGTCAAAAAGTACCCTAAAATCAAACTGCTGTGCAAATACAATATCGTACCACATTAACCTTCAATGTTACTGCATTTACAAAAACATTCTTTAAAATATTGAAACATCAACATTAGATACTTGTATCAGTACATAAAATATGATACTATATTGATAGGGATCTGAGGATAAGGTTTCAAAAGTACCTCTAGAATATGCATGTACATGTACCTTTAGGAACTGATTTACTTGACATGTTTTGTTTATATTACTTTAGACTCTCATTGTAAACATTTAGTGATTTACAGATTATTTGCTGTGTTTGACACAGAGAAACGGGTCCGAAATAGGCCAAATTATCCTTGTGAATGTGGATAATGAGTGCCATGACAAAAATCTAATCAGATTTCTCTGAGCAATTTTAAAACGAGACCAGTTCTGTTATTTACGAGACCAGTTCTGTTATTTACGGGAATGTAGCTATTAATTATATACAAAGTACAAGGAAGTTTCTATCCTGGTAGATCCAAAGTATGGATTGTGTGATTTTGATTTCGGTTGAATAATTCTAAAACCCCTGGGCAAGTTGATCCACACACTTCAACATACGATCACCAGTAGTATCAGTAGATGAACACATGATGGAACTTACCAAACTGAAAGGGTATTGGGCTCATGATAATTTATTTTACCTATTTTCTCACATGTTAGCATTCACTGGTTATTAATGGTTTTTCTTTGGGCTTTACTTACACTGCTCCTCTCCGGGGTCCAATCTATTGGGTATTGTTAACCAATGAGTTGACTTCTTTTTGGAAATATTTCTACTAGCATGTTGTTTAAGGTAATTTCTCATTGCCCCAATTAAAATAAGTGTTTTGAACATAATCAAAACCTCTGTCAACAAAACTGCACTCATATCAAGTAAGCATGGACACCAGTTACCTCCCTGTACTAACTAGAAATGATGGATTATGTGCAAGACAAATGGAGGTAAACAAAAACCAGTAATAAATTACTGAAAATTAACAACTACTTTATAGGCATATGTCCATTTATAAGGTGTGAACAATTTCTTAAAAATGTCTTTCAAGAATAATAATCTAATGTCAATGGTGTCAGAAGGTTAAATGTTATTATCAGTACTTCGTCGTTTACACACACACAAAAAAAGAAAGAAAGCGGATTCCTTGGAATCATTTTCTACATTGAAATGATTGGTAAGCAAAACATCCAGCAATGTTAATTTCCACTCAAAAGTTACATTCAAATATATTAGATTGTCTTTTCGTGATGAATAAAACTAAGTCTAGACTACATATGCAAAAGCAGCAACTCTGACAAAAAATAACATGTCGATGAATTTTTGGTGCATGTTCATATCAATCATGTCATCTCAGAATGGTTTTACAAGTTCAAATGATCAACATAATATATTGGAGCATTAATTACCTGTGTCCCACAAGCTGTCACTATTACAATAAATAAACATGACAATACACAGGCAGCACAGCATGATTTTGCTTTGATGGTGAACAATTTTAGTGTTTTGTTATCTATTGATGACAGCAGTTACTATAGATCGAGAACGTGACATTGGGAATAAGTCCATCATGTCCATGAAGAGATGTTTGTGCAATACAGCCGACCGGATAACACTTTTCTGTTTTGATCAATGAAAACACAAACTGAAATTGTCACATGAAACCTGAAAGGTCCAAAACTTTATCTGTCATCTTTAAAAGCATCAGGGCAAACCTTCTGCACAAAAGCAATATGTCCAGTCTTGTATGCTAAATTGCACCATTAAGCTAAATAAATCCATCAAAATATCAAGAAAGCACACACAAAAAACTAATCTAGATATCATATCAATAAAATTCAGTACATCTGAGGAAAAAAGTAACTCTAGAAATCATTGACATTGTAATACAAAACATGTTGGTAAACATGCCAAATTAATGAAATAAAGAGTGAGTTTAATTAGCTGTGCCAACATATATTTATAAAATTGGGTCAGGTTAGTATGCTCCAATTTGTGTCAGTGTCCCCCATCAGTACCTCAGTCAAGACAATGCACGTAACTACTGACTTCATAACGCATACACAAATCAAAGAATGAGTGGATACTTAAACAGCACATTTCATTTAAATTACCGAGATGTACCACAACAATTCAGGGGAGGTTGATGCGTGAATCCACTATGTCAGCCGAGTGACAACATTCCGAGACAATATGGCGGCCATTTTCTACAGACAGCTGAGAAAAGGATTCAATGCGTGTAATTTTTTTTCGACAACTTAAGTTTGACTGAAGTGAGCAAAAGATGTGATGTTAAATGTTGTAACAGTCCTTGCTCATCTACAATGTTTCATTTGTATGTCTGCAATGTTGTCCGATTTCGGAGCCTGAATTATGACCACTGGTGTGATTGAAAATGCGATATTCAAGAAGATTCAAAATTTGTCCCATCCCACAACTATGCAAACATACAAGTGAATATCCCACATTTATTGTAAAATATCTTCTTATAGAAACACTTAAGACTCATATTATCTAACGGAATTTGTAAACAAACCAATATTAGCCTAGTTTGTCCTCGAAGTCGTAATGCTGATTTTCAGTGCATGCGCAACAAAAAGGTTTTGTGATATAAATAAACTCATTGTATTTATGATATATATCTCACCTTTGATGACCAGACATTTTGGACTTGTTTGTTTTAAAAACAAGTTGTCAACAAATGAGCCAGAATGAAATACTGTCGATCACAACAGTTCCACAAATTCGTGAAACAGGGAACGCAGCTTTCAGACGACGATGACGGCCTACATGTTGAGACCTTGAGAAATAACCGTTCACTATCCAGTGGAAACAAACTTTAAAACAGTTAGTTAAAACAAGAAATAAAGGTTGATGGCATATCCATCTGAATTGTCAGGAGAGTCGCACAACAGTGAAATTCCTAGAACATAAAACGTGATGATAACAGCCTTGAATCGCCATTACAGTTGAGAATCCAAGTAAGGTTTCGCGAATGACAGCTACTGATAAGTGACGACTGCTAATACTGCTCTATTTGCTGGCGGCCTCAGTTGTTCTGTAGCTGATATTTTTATGTGGATTTACTTTCACGATTTGAGACAAATGTGTTGAATATGATTAACTGATATTGCATTTCTTGCCCCTGAAAACTGGAAACATACTTCTAATCTGACTGCACAATTTCTGGTTTAACTTGAAATATATTTCACAAATGCATTTTCAGGTTCATACACATTAAATACACAGCATAGCTCATGCTTAATTAAAATAGTATAATCATATCAACGTGTTAATATACTTGAAACCAAAAATATATGAGTTGAAGAAATGAAAAGTTCACTGAATTTATGACGTGTTTAGATATACGCTTTTTAATCTAAAAAATAAGCATTTGGGTCAATCTACACGTGCAACTGGATTCAGTGGAATGATCATACATGGTGGTGCTTACGTATTGTACGCAAGCCAGCTTCCCACAACAAAATGTGCATGTGAAATAATATAAAAAATAAATATAATCAAAATAATACGCATGGAACTCTCTGATCAACAATATTCATATTTGTGTGTTTGAATAAAGACAAATATATTGATAACCGTGTTTAAAGACAAACAAAGGAGTAATAGCATTGATCATATTTCCGTCTTCACGAAATAATTACCATCAATACCTTTTGTAAAACACAAATATTGTTAATCAACAAGTCGTTATTGGTGCTCATTTCGTTTTATTAAATCAAACTACTAATACAAGTAATCATCGTTTGCCCAAATATTTGATGCAATAATATTTGAAAGTTATCGAGTTAGAAAATTGACCTCACTTACAGTTCTTCACTGTTACTTTATTACGTTTTAACTATTTACGAAATATAGTACTATGAATATTTTGGTTATTCCTCAGCTTGAAGGAAGAGCTGTTGCCGTTATTATTATTTAGTTGGATCTATTCTGATAATGTTGGTATTCTGGGGGTTTTCCTTTCTTTTGTTTTGCTTTTTTATTATAGTTACAGTCGCTTCCGGGGAAACTCCAGTAATTGATTCACCGTTACAACTAGTCGTCAGGAGAATAGCTTTTCGTCGTATCACCCTGCACCAGCTGATTGAGTGAAGGGAAAATGACATCCGAAAAAATTCCAGAACACTACCACAGTTTTATCAAATACAGTTTATTTTCGAGCCTTTAATCTTCTGTTATGGGACAATTAAAACAAAACTACCATGTGACACGAATTGTTTACCATTACATAAACATTGCGTTCTCCAAATAGACAAACATCGCAGCTCTGACGTCAAACAGTCATGTGACCAAATTCGGCCGACTTGAAGCCTTTATGGTTGGTGATAATCCCTTAGCTATAGGGGAAAACACTTTTAGGTCAGTTTATATCTTATTTCTTTTTCCGTTAGCTAAGCGTTTCCCAGTTCTTTAAATATCTATAAAAATAACAACAACAAAAACACAACCATACAAATCTTAAACACTAAATATTAAAAATGCAGGTAGTAAGCAGACTCGTACAAACACGACAACTTGCGTATTCTCACATACATTACATATATGTCTTCTTAAGGCTTTGGGCGTATATATATGTTACAATATTAATCTCTATTTCAATTTGTCAACTAACTGATAATTGCTGTATGCACTTGAAGCTCAATACAAATTTGCTGACAAGCATCAAGCTGTCATCGTATATACAGTTAAAACGCAAGCTCTGCAGTAGAGAATTATTACAGTTATTATCATTATAATTATAGGTATATAGCAGAGAATCAGACACTCTGGCATGTAAATAAATGAAGTTTTTTACATCTTCAAGAAGTATAATTTATTTTTCAATTGACATTTAGATGATATGTAATGATTCCATTAAAGGAATAAATCCACAATGGATTTGAAGATTTAAAATTTGCCAGTTTGAATAAACTTCGCTTTCGTCATAATATAGAAAATTAAGTTACTGTAATCATTTATATAATGCATTATACCATGCAGAGATGATGTAGATTTGACATACACCCACGCATGCACGTGCGCACACACATACACACGAGGGGAAAAGTAACCGTACTTCATAGAAAGAGTGAGTGAGTGAGTGAGTTTAGTTTTACGCCGAACTCAGCAATAGTCCAGCTATATGGCGGCGGTCTGTAAATAATCGAGTCTGGACCAGACAATCCAGTGATCAACAGCATGAGCATCGATCTACGCAATTGGGATACGATGACGTGTCTCAACCAAGTCAGCGAGCCTGACCACCCGATACTGTCAGTCGCTTCTTACGACAAACATGGGTTACTGAAGATCAATTTTAATCCGGATGTTCACGGGTCCAACACTCAGTTGACGCTAAACGTTCCCCAACGAAGAAATATTGTAAACCAAAAGTCCCCCCTGTTCTTTAATTTGATTGGTTGAAAAACGTGATCTAATGGTATTTGATTTATACAAACATCGCTCACACCATTGTATTGTTACGTCGTCAGCTGTGATGACGTCATTAAAATCATATTGTGACGTAAAGTCCGAATGACGTCCGACTTGTTGTCAGGTTGACACGTGAGTCAGTAGACAGACAGACAGACAGACAGACAGACACGTCTTTAGCCAAAGACCAGCAGGATATGGAATCGATACGTTAGGATCAGCCACCCAGCGACATGCAAGTGGCCGACAGCGTTCCGGCACATAGCGGGAAGATATAACAGCCAAACAGTCATCACTTCCTGACTACCAACACACTTGGGAATGATCTGCGGAACGCAACTATCGTTAACGTTTAAGACAGTTCATAAGGCTCGTCTCCGGTCATGGAGAGCAGGCATTCATTTCCCACTGACCCGGCGTCGAAGGCAGACACGTTTGGGTTGGACTTGAAGATCAAATCTATTGACAAACTGGGGTCCAGTTCCTTGATTAATGACTCGAGATACTGTCAAGACTTCACAAAACGTTGTGCCGATTTGGGCGTAAACCAGGAGAGGATTCCAGGAAATTCTCCATATAATCTGTTTGAACCCACGTTTGGGTCTTGCTGCCATCTTAACTCGCCTTAAAATCAGTACGATCGGGGTTTTTTAAAAACATTTACATTATCCAAAACTTGCTTAACTTCAAAATGGTTTCCTTTTATGAAACGTACGTAACATGCGTGTATCTGCTGATGCTTGTTCAGCAAAATATCGCAATACCAGTAACTTGATACATAAATGCAAAACAGACCAACACTGATCGTGTCCTGCACAACAAATCCTGGAAGCTTGCCTATGGTGGACAAAGTGACATGGTAGCCCTAAAACACATATATACTGTCAGTACTAAAGAATATCCAGTTTTGTGTACCTTAAGAAACAGATTCCACTTTGGTGTAAAGATCAACACAGCTGTGGAACTTATTTCAATTGGTCACTGAATATCAGTGGAAGGGAAACCATGTCCTTCCCCACCGATAGAACCTGCCATTCACACAATTCGTCTAAAAACTGTAAGTATACGCTAAGGAAGGATGAGGGGCAGTGGGACAGCCTAGTGGTTAAAGCCTTGGCTCGTCACGCCAAAACCCGGGTTCGAATCCCCACATGGGTACAATGTGTGAAGCCCATTTCTGGTGTCCCCCTCCGTGATGTTGCTGGAATATTGCTAAAAGCGGCGTAAAACCAAACTCAGTCAGTCAGTAAGGAAGGATGACAATATATGGATAAACAACTTCTTTATTTTAAGTGAGAGCAACCTTTCGGTGTCGGTTCTAACAATGTTGCAAGCAAACGGTGTTAGAACCTACACCGAAACATCGCTCACACCGTAATAAAGAAGTTGTTCATCCATATATTGTCGTCCTTCCTTATTGATCCAACTTCTAATTGCCTCTCAAAGAAGTTAAGTATGAGCTAATTTCACACAAAAGGGTAAATACGCCTAAGGGGGTATAAAGGAACATTCAGTAACGTGCATTCATAGTATCTATCAGGTTTGACATTTATCTTTCAAAACATAAACCGAAGAGTAGTTTGTATACGTCACTTCAGGAATAGTGAAGGAGTTAATCTGTTCATTTTTTAACATGTGACTGTGTTTCAATAAACGGTAACGTAGAGGTCAGTGTATAAAATACTGCTGTTTGTACTTCACAGTCTGCTGATACAGATACCACAGTAAATACTCCATCGTGGTATCTTTGAAGGTAATCCTGATACTTTTGTCTCGTTACCTGGCAACACTTGCTTGTAAATATATCTCGTCACTGCTATAATTTAGGTATAGAGCCCTTCGTTAATTTGTGGGGATATGAACATGTACATTTTGAAATCTTCAGATGGCGAATGAAGAAGTTTAAACTGAACCACAGTTAGGAAATAAACAATACTGTATTTTAGGGTTCAGTGTTTAGCGTTGATTTTTTACATTGGAACAGTAACGAACAGTTCGTTTTTCTCATATGTACATGGTAAAAATACACATACATATTCCTCCTTGAAAGAGTTTCCTTATAATCAAAGTCACCACAGACAATCTTCTAAGACGGCATACAAAATCTAATACTTCTAGTAATTATCCACTGCACACGTGTGCCCGGACAGAGACTCCTCATTGAGCGTGGGGGTTTGCCTTACAGTTTAGTAGGAAGAGTAACGCCGAGAAGAACAGTATTTCTATTTATTAATGGGGTTGTAGACATTCATTTTATCACTGACGTAAATCCGACGTGACGTGCCGACAGACAAGGAACCTTCATCAAATCCTAACCTAACCTGTCTTCATCTAAGCTCACCTGAGACACATAGTAGACAAGAAGACATTTCATTATCTTGAGTTTGGTTATTGTCCGTGTAATGTCTTCATACATATCCACCGTTTTGACTAGCAGCTAGTCTCTGAAATGAACATATTTTAAAATTAAAATAGACTACAGTAAATAGGAGCCCCGAGACTTTCTTCATTTTCAGATTAATCTAGACTTGCCACACATTATAGACCTGCATGGGCTGCATTCGGGTATATTTGTTTCAGGGTCCACCGCTGTGCAGTCTGTAATATGTCATTACTGATCGTGTGTTCAGATGCGCAGTAAACATGTGTCACCAGCTATCCTTTATGCATTTCTGTTGAGCCAGAAGAGACTAGAATGTTGGGTTAGGCACGTAAGGCAGCATAAGGGATAGTGTCACAATAAGGTCAACTGGAACCCATTGTTTGCCACGCCAAGGCTGTTCCATACAGCATACGAGAATTAGAAGTGCAATGGTGATCTGGAATTAGTCTCTCAATCACTCACATATGGAACAGCCAACATTTATCACTCTGCAAGAGAGAATACAGTTTTTTTATAGTGTCACATGTTATACATGTATACGCTTCCTGATAAAAGTTCCATGACAATGTTTCTTTATTCTGATCATGATGACCTCCGAACAGATATGGTGAGAGACCATGCTTACAACATTACAGCAGACCTGGTGTTGAGATGTTCTGGAAGTCACTGTGTCTCAGTTACTAATTACACCCGAGAACGGCTGTATAACAAGCACAAATCAGACAGTATCAAAGGACTATTTACTAGTATTTAGTCTCTGTAGAAAGACAAAACAACAAAACATACATTTCTGGCGGCCTAAAAGAGGGGCGGTGCCAATTGTGGGTGAGACAATGTCTTGCGTTGATATTGACGACTCAGCGGTGGCAGTATAGGTGATTGAAAACAGGCTGTCCGAACTGTCCCACTGACGCAACGTTAACGGTTCTGGTCTATCTATCGCCATCTTTCTATCTCATCCCAGGTAATAATGTCTTCAGAACCTCTGTTGCTGTCTCCACCGTAGAGTAACATTATGTGTGTTGTGCTCTCTCGACCAGTTGATCCCAATCCTGGAATTGTCCGAGGGGTTATATGGTAGTTTGGTATCATTTCTGCAGATGCACCAACCGAATATTGCCACTAGACAGTGGCAAGTCATGAAGAGATGATATTGTGTTTATCAAAATATTGAAATGCCTGGCAACTACTGACTACAGATCTCAAAAGCATTTAGAAAGTTGTGATATGAAGTTATATACTTATAGAAAGTATTTTAAAAATGCCCAAATGGGCTCGGCAAGTCAATAGCCGGCTCTTCGTAGAGGAATTATTAAGACTGATATATTGTTCGTCACCGCTAATGTTTTCAAATTGATTCACAACAAAATTGTGTGAACATCCGCTTCATTTTTTTCAATAGGATATGTGAGAAGATAAGACCCTAGTATCCCGACTGTTTTGTCCACTACAGATATACCGTACTGTATGAACGATGTATGCCCGTTGATCATGAGGGGTATATCACAAACTAATAAGCTAGCATGTAGGGCCCAAGTTGTGAAATTCCAGAACCAAAAGGTCAGTGATGAACACGAACACGTGTCAGTTTATAAAATAACCGGTTTGTTATATAAATAGCATTATTTAGTGACAGTGCAAACTACGAGTATATACCCTCTACCCACACATACACCCCCTGCTCGTCACCCTGCCTGGGTCAGGGCAACCCAGCGACCAATCATCACAGGATACGTATACTCGCATCATAAAGATTAGACTTGAACGTGCCAAACTCCCTGCCCTTGTCCCGGGATACATCACAGTCGTCGACGATGAAGTACTTGGTGTTAAACCACACCTCGGTGAAAGTGTCTGCTTCTTAACCCCAACATTCACTAGTCTACTACCATTGTCTTTAACTATCCAAAGCCTTCCAACAAGTTTTGTCATAGCAACCCTTTGGTACGACAAATAGTGCACGTGGTTTTCAAAATCAACGAAAATCGAACACGAAATGATAATTCTCTATTTTTCTCTTGTTTATAAACGTCAACTTGTATATAGTTACGTAGTAATGTTATATATTTTTATGTTTAACAGAGAAATTTATCTAATGTAACATTAGGATCATATTATTTATTGTTCACAAACCAATAATTTTTAAAAGGACACAAAAAGAAAACTGGAATAATAAGTCTCAAATCAAGTATATTCTTGCCACAATATTTTAAGAATTAGGTAACATATGCTATTTTCAACAGCGTTCATCGACGTATATGTGTAATGTCGTGGCGAGTCGTGTTTTTATACAAATGAGTGAGTTTACCGGTAATGTCATATGGTACGTTAAAACATTGCCACAGCCCAGATTAGTTGCACCAGGCTACAGGAGGAAACAGGAGAGATACAGAGGCGGAATGTGTAACAATGGAGGTTATAATTCAGGTCCTCCTGGGACACTACCATCAGTTCATGTTTCCCAATCCACCAGTTATTGACATTCAAGGTGTATTACATGCAGTTGTCAACGTTATGTACATCATGTAAATCAGCGGGGAATACAGAAACAATTTCATGCAGGTGTGAACAGAACAGACAGGTAAACTATCATATGATAGACAGAACAGACAGGTAAACTATTACATGATAGACAGAACAGACAGGTAAACGATTACAGGCAGGTGTGAACAGTGCCTGCATCATGTTGGACACAGTAAATAGTTGATGCAAGACATGCAGTTGGGGACATTAATATGATACCTCGCGCAATAAATGAATACCTGTCGGTAATAAACATCTCAACCATCTGTTGCATCAGTTTCACCTGTACCCTCAGTAGTAGCCTAGATAAGGGGACAGTACAGGACGCCAGTCAGTAAGAGGGACAATGTGTTAATTGTATTTGTATTTTTTAGAAATGATCATTTATGCTATTAATTTTTACATTAGAGACTTGTGCAAGTCTACCTCAGCAGATACGTTCCAGTGATGGGGTTCATGAATCACACGATTTGTGACTGCGATCAACCTTGGTATACATAACATGGCATATTTGCTTGACAATAGATAGCACTATCAACAGGTATATATCAACATAACAACTGGTATATATGAAATCACTGCCAACATCAGCTGTTGTTGGAGGTGCTGTGGCAGCTGTTGTTGGCAGTGCTGAATATACCAGCTGTTGTTGGCAGTGCTGAATATACCAGCTGTTGTTAGAGGTGCTGAATATACCAGCTGTTGTTGGCAGTGCTGAATATACCAGCTGTTGTTGGAGGTGCTGTACCAGCTGTTGTTGGAGGTGCTGTGGCAGCTGTTGTTGGCAGTGCTGAATATACCAGCTGTTGTTGGCGGTGCTGTACCAGCTGTTGTTGGAGGTGCTGAATATACCAGCTGTTGTTGGAGGTGCTGTACCAGCTGTTGTTGGAGGTGCTGTGGCAGCTGTTGATGGAGGTGCTGTGGCAGCTGTTGCTGGCAGTGGTGAATATACCAGCTGTTGTTGGCAGTGCTGAATATACCAGCTGTTGTTGGAGGTGCTGTACCAGCTGTTGTTGGCAGTGCTGAATATACCAGCTGTTGTTGGCGGTGCTGTACCAGCTGTTGTTGGAGGTGCTGTGGCAGCTGTTGCTGGCAGTGCTGTGGCAGCTGTTGCTGGCAGTGGTGAATATACCAGCTGTTGTTGGAGGTGTTGAATATACCAGCTGTTGTTGGCGGTGCTGTACCAGCTGTTGCTGGCAGTGGTGAATATACCAGCTGTTGTTGGAGGTGCTGAATATACCAGCTGTTGTTGGCGGTGCTGTACCAGCTGTTGTTGGAGGTGCTGTGGCAGCTGTTGCTGGCAGTGCTGTGGCAGCTGTTGCTGGCAGTGGTGAATATACCAGCTGTTGTTGGAGGTGTTGAATATACCAGCTGTTGTTGGCGGTGCTGTACCAGCTGTTGCTGGCAGTGCTGTGGCAGCTGTTGTTGGCAGTGCTGTGGCAGCTGTTGCTGGCAGTGCAAGTCAAAACATTGATTACACAACAGTCTCGTTTCCTATTGACTGGGTCCCATCCTATTGCGCAACTTAGTACAATAACCGGTCCAGAATTTTGAGACCAATTCATTTAACTGGATACACAATTATTAATCAGTATTACTTGATACATCTAAGCACTTGTATATTGCATGAGAGAACTCGGATCGCTGAAAAGTAGGTCATTGTCTGAATAGGTGATGAGACTCATGTTTCCGTTTGGTGAATATACCAGCTGTTTTTGACAGTGGTGAATATACCAGGTGTTGTTGGCAGCGTGAATATACCAGCTGTTGTTGGCAGTGCTGAATATACCAGCTGTTGTTGGCTGTGCTGTGGCAGCTGTTGTTGGCAGTGCTGAATGTACCAGCTGTTGTTGGCAGTGCTGAATATACCAGCTGTTGTTGGCTGTGCTGAATATACCAGCTGTTGTTGGTAGTGTTGCTGGACTCAACCTGTGTACAGCAATACAGTGTCTAGGGACACATCCTGTGTACAGTAATACAGTGTCTAGAGACACATCCTGTGTACAGTAATACAGTGTCTAGGGACACAACCTGTGTACAGTAATACAGTGTCTAGGGACACAACCTGTGTACAGTAATACAGTGTCTAGGGACACACCCTGTATACAGTAATACAGTGTCTAGGGACACAACCTGTGTACAGTAATACAGTGTCTAGGGACACAGCCTGTGTACAGTAATGCAGTGTCTAGGGACACAGCCTGTGTACAGTAATACAGTGTCTAGGGACACAACCTGTGTACAGTAATACAGTGTCTAGGGACACAGTCTTTGTTCAGCTATACAGTGTCTAGGGACACATCCTGTGTACAGTAATACAGTGTCTAGGGACACATCCTGTGTACAGTAATACAGTGTCTAGGGATACATCCTGTGTACAGTAATACAGTGTCTAGGGACACATCCTGTGTACAGTAATACAGTGTCTAGGGACACAACCTGTGTACAGTAATACAGTGTCTAGGGACACAGCCTGTGTACAGTAATACAGTGTCTAGGGACACAACCTGTGTACAGTAATACAGTGTCTAGGGACACATCCTGTGTACAGTAATACAGTGTCTAGGGACACATCCTGTGTACAGTAATACAGTGTCTAGGGACACACCCTGTGTACAGTAATACAGTGTCTAGGGACACATCCTGAGTACAGTAATACAGTGTCTAGGGACACATCCTGTGTACAGTAATACAGTGTCTAGGGACACAACCTGTGTACAGTAATACAGTGTCTAGGGACACACCCTGTGTACAGTAATACAGTGTCTAGGGACACATCCTGAGTACAGTAATACAGTGTCTAGGGACACACCCTGTGTACAGTAATACAGCGTCTAGGGACACAGTCTGTGTACAGTAATACAGTGTCTAGGGACACATCCTGTGTACAGTAATACAGTGTCTAGGGACACATCCTGTGTACAGTAATACAGTGTCTAGGGATACATCCTGTGTACAATAATACAGTGTCTACGGACACATCCTGAGTACAGTAATACAGTGTCTAGGGACACAACCTGTGTACAGCAGTACATTTTTTAGGGACACAACCTGTGTACAGTAATACAGTGTCTAGGAACACAGCCTGTGTTCAGTAATACAGCGTCTAGGGACACATCCTGTGTACAGTAATACAGTGTCTAGGGACACATCCTGTGTACAATAATACAGTGTCTAGGGATACATCCTGTGTACAGTAATACAGTGTCTAGGGACACACCCTGTGTACAGTAATACAGCGTCTAGGGACACAGTCTGTGTACAGTAATACAGTGTCTAGGGACACATCCTGAGTACAGCAATACAGTGTCTAGGGACACAACCTGTGTACAGTAATACAGTGTCTAGGGACACAACCTGTGTACAGTAATACAGTGTCTAGGGACACAACCTGTGTACAGTAATACAGTGTCTAGGGACACAACCTGTGCACAGTAATACAGTGTCTAGGGACACAACCTGTGTACAGTAATACAGTGTCTAGGGACACAACCTGTGTACAGTAATACAGTGTCTAGGGACACATCCCGTGTACAGTAATACAGTGTCTAGGGACACAACCTGTGCACAGTAATACAGTGTCTAGGGACACAACCTGTGTACAGTAATACAGTGTCTAGGGACACAACCTGTGTACAGTAATACAGTGTCTAGGGACACAACCTGTGTACAGTAATACAGTGCCGTAGGACACTAGGCGACCCTCGAGGTTCCGCAACTGGTTCCTTGTTGCATTGTTTACTTTACAACGCGAATACACTATTTCATTCAACGGACACCTAGATAGACTCCCAGTTATGAGACAGTGCAGGAGTGGGTAATTAACAAAGAAAACACACCATACTCCCCTGTCTGATAGAATGGATTAACCCTAGCTAATTACTGATTTGCTATGTAACTGAATCTTGTGGAAGTCTTAATGAAACTTTATAAGATAAATTGATTACATACACTTTGTGTAGGTAACTTCGTGATCATTTGAAAGAGAAATTAGTTTACCTACTCAGATTTACATCCGTCTCCGAAACTACAAGATATAGTTTAAGAAATAACTCTGAAATACAAGTTTACAGTCGAACTGCCTCTTATGCCAAATCCTTTTTACCCGGCACTACCCGTTATAACCTGGATACCATTTTGAACGGAAACAAAAAATTTACTCCTTGTGTAAACCAGAAAATAGTTGAATCTGTCCACGATTATATCATCAAGACACAACGCTTCAAATTTTCTGAGGAAAATGCTTAAATTAACTCAACAACCTTCTCATGATTGATTTATATTCCTACAATAGCTTGTTAGACACACACAACTGTAACTCTCTAATTATGACTACTTGGAGAATAGTTGTATTTGATGTATACTTAAAAATATATTTATGCAATAGTCAATATCGATGACGTCACATCCTCCATTTCATTTTGTATTTTATGTTGCATGGGAGCGGTAATGCTTGTTAACCAATAAAAAAAAAAAAAATATGTTTAAACCGATAGTCATAATAGTCTATTTCTTCTGTGTAAATAGAATCTTGGATAATCTATTTCATTAATCTACTCATCAATGACTCCCGTGGGTACTCTTCAACAACTGGGCTGATCCCACTTTCATTGTAGGGATGTGGAAACACCACCTATGTGCACTGAACCATTAATTAATGTGTCTCACAACTGGGAGTTCTCACAAATGGGGGGACACCGTTTAAATAAATGTTTAACCTAAGAGCCCATCCTAACTACTCCAGTTCCATCTCGCCATACATGGGCCTTCTGGTCTCTGAATGTGGACTGTGTCAGCACCAGTTTAAACTTGTTCCCAAATAACCTCAAAACGCGCATGCATTTAATAAATACGCAATACGATGGAGAACATGAAGCGCATGTTTAGCTAATGGGGTTCTGGTGACAAACTCGGCATAACAAGTCATATCATCACACTCATCAAAGGCCCTGCTGAGAGCGCCCTGGGCCCCCTACAACAGCGATAAGGATGCCTGTGTCGTATTTAATGCAGTTCTCACACCACAGGTTGTCAATTAATATAGCAAGCAGCTCTGTCCCTGCATGACCGCGGCTCACAATCTGCTCACTCTTCGGTGGGATTTTGTGCTGTTTTTGTTATCGAAAACTGTGGTAAACCCGATCTGAAATATATTCATAGTCATTTTCTCGCCCTCAAATTTAGTGATTCATTCAGATTGTTGAAGCCACTAAACCGGTCTTCTGTTTTGATTTTTCAAGCTCACCGCTAGGTTCCGGTATAAGATATGCACATAACTGCTTGTTACTGCTTCTTTTTACTGTTCTCCAAAGCACTTTCTCAGTCATAGATATTGATTTTAATAATTTATTTACAATGTATCGTGGACTTCAGTTTGTTGAGAGTAGTTTTCAATGAATATTTCAAGATTATGGGATAATAGTTATAGCAATCGACCATAACAACTGTTTCTCATATAAGACATTTGCCTGTTGCTGACAACTCTAGATCAATCAGTGTATTCCGCCCAGGGATGCATGCAATCGTCCTTCTGTCACGTGTGCTATGACGTCAGCTAGCTCAGGCGTGACAGGTTTTGTGTTGGGAAAACAGTGTTACGAGACACAGTTATGGACGTCAGGTGTTGGAAGGTTTCTGATTGGTCCACAGGTCAGTATTGTTAAAGTTGTTTTGAAACAACGAGAAAAACACATCCTCCAGTTGCCCACAGGAAACATTTATGTATTCTCATATATTGCAATTGTTATTGAAATTGAATGTGATCTTGGTCATACATTTAATCAAATGATTATGAAACGACGAAATTTAATCAAGAATCAACGACATAGACGAATGTCATAGAATGATAATTATCAACATGTTATTTATCAACTACCAGTCTAATTTGGGCGTTATGACTGCGACGCTGCCAAAGTAGTATTCCAAATGTGAAACACAAGAAGAAAGAACTCTTGGCTGTGCTCCTGTCTCCTTCATCCTGCTTCTTACTGGTTCTAGAAGGCCACTGAATCTAAAGATATCCATTAATATCGATCTTGGCTCAATATAGACTCCGACGGTAATAGCCATCGCTCTCGGGCGGGCGGTGGCTGCGTAATATAGCTGATTTAAAGTGAACTTCTATCTTTGACTCACAAATGTTACGTGTTGAAATCTCAGGAAAAGATTGTTCCGGCTGGGCACTGTTGATGTCCTTGAGCACCGTGTTTTGCTGTACGGTGCGTTTATGTAAAACGGCGGGACTTTTACACACCCTTGCACACAGGGATAGTCATAGATCGACAGTAACATAGTGACCAGTGGAACAGCGCAATGCCAGTTATAACAATGTAGTGTTCGTTGTAACCAAACATGGTATACCTAAGTTCATTTACCAGCATGGTGTTCATTGTACCAGCATGGTGTTCATTGTACCAGCACGGTGTTCATTGTACCAGCATGGTGTTCATTGTACCAGCACGGTGTTCATTGTACCAGCATGGTGTTCATTGTACCAGCATGGTGTTCATTGTACCAGCATGGTGTTCATTGTACCAGCACGGTGTTCATGTACCAGCACGGTGTTCATTGTACCAGCACGGTGTTCATTGTACCAGCACGGTGTTCATTGTACCAGCATGGTGTTCATTGTACCAGCATGCTGTTCATTGTACCAACATGGTGTTCATTGTACCAGCACGGTGTTCATTGTACCAGCACGGTGTTCATTGTACCAGCACGGTGTTCATTGTACCAGCATGGTGTTCATTGTACCAGCACGGTGTTCATGTACCAACGTGGTGTTCATTGTACCAGCACGGTGTTCATTGTACCAAAATGGTGTTCATGTACCAGCACGGTGTTCATTGTACCAACATGGTGTTCATTGTACCAGCACGGTCTTCATTGTACCAAAATGGTGTTCATTGACAAAATGGGGTTCATTGTAC